TTAAGATAGCAGATATGTATCACTGTCAACATGAGAACTTAAGATAGCAGATATGTATCACTGTCAACATGAAAATTTAAGACAGCAGATATGGATCATTGTCAACATGAAAATTTAAGATAGCAGATATGTATCACTGTCAACATGAAAATTTAAGACAGCAGATATGGATCATTGTCAACATGAAAATTTAAGATAGCAGATATGGATCACTGTCAACATGAAAATTTAAGATAGCAGACATGAATCATTGTCAACATGAAAATTTAAGATAGCAGATATGGATCATTGTCAACATGAAAATTTAAGATAGTAGATATGTATCATTGTCAACATGAGAACTTAATATAGCAGATATGTATCATTGTCAACATGAGAACCTAAGATAGCAGATATGGATCATTGTCAACATGAAAACTTAAAATAGCAGATATGTATCATTGTCAACATGAGAACTTAAGATAGCAGATATGTATCATTGTCAACATGAGAACTTAAGATAGCAGATATGGATCATTGTCAACATAACATATTTTATCACTATATTTTACATAATCGATTTTTTTGTAATTTTTATAAATTGTACAGCTCAATGCTTGCCATAATTCTGAACAAACTGTTTCGTTTGGAGACTAAAATTCTCCAACTATGCACATTTCTCAGAGTACAGCCATGTAAAGGTGTTTGGTGAAAACGGAGTATAATAGTCTGTCAACTATACTATAACCTGTCGATATATCACAGTGATGTCGGTTCAACAAAACTACTGTATTCATCACTCCGCATTTAACACACATAATTGATTTATTATCGTCGGCGTGGTACAAGAATTAAAAATTTTCCTGTGTTTTACACTCTGGTATGAAAGCAGTTTTGGTATCATGACAGATTCTGTAACGAACTTTTCCTCTGTTAGTCTCAATGCTTAATATCTAGATAACAATGTACCGGATCCATGTCGATGAGTGGGGTAGAGTGGGGGTGCGGATTTTGGAAGATAACAGTTTAAACGTTATTGAAGCTACTATTCGGGATGGGGGATGAAAGGAAAGTAATATTGTTGACTACGTCAGTCAAATATCAATACGCGGTGAATATTTATAGTTGTAGTGTCTCCGCGTTAAATATAAAAACAAAAACAAAACAGATTCTGGATCTCATATCTGAAGAAACCGGCAGAAATGAATCACCGATCATTCCGTTAAATACCTTTACGTCTATAGCACATGCAGTGGGAAAACGTTGCCTTTATTTATATTTACTAATTAGAGACTAGATATGCTTGTATTATGACATTTCTAAAGAACGAAGTCATAAATCACTAATTCAACATTCCAAACATTATTCTACAAGTAAGTAACTGAATAACATAAAACAACGATGCTCACAGCTCAAATATTTTACATTTAGTCACGTACCTTCAGTCAAATAACTTTGAAATGCGGATAAACATGATAGAAATGATATTATTCAATGATTAAACAATTCAAGGTAAATTATTTACTTTCTGATACGCCTTAATGAATAAACTAATGACATGTATAAAATATTTCTTAAAATCCCTAAGCCCTAAAATAAGTGATTGATTTGCGAATTGTGTGTTTAATGATTTATTATTTGAAAACCACGTTCGGATATGTTCCAAACACACGCCATATAAATACTTCTACTATCGTAAAGTATATGAGAAAGAAAGGACGGAAACAGAACGTCTGATTGAATCACCTGTTTTGTTACTTTTCTGTTTCACAACTTCTATGTATAGCATTTTTGCTACTAATCTAGTCGGATTAACTCTAGACAATACGGAATTGATAATCATATCTAAGTAAGTAAACAATAGTCTATATTTACTTGAATGAAAGTGGATATAAATAAGTGGGTCAATATCTATTAAAACCATTATTTCCAAGAAGCAAAGTTGAAAGCATTAGATAACTAGGACTGTTTCTTGGAATCAATAGCCAGACGTGTTATCAAACTGTACCTGAAGAGGTCACACACAACTTTGGTCGGCCCTGATTGAATGACGAGGAGGAAAGATATATCTTGGGCTGGGCTACCGGATATTAACGTGTAACAAGGTCAGCTGAAAGACTGCAGATCCTTGCGTGTGAAAACGGATATAACCCGCGTGTCAGAAGGAGGGTTTGGTGCCGGATTCCCCCAGATCCTTCTACTGATTGATCTACTTGTATGAACGCAGCTCAAACTACTCCGTCTACCGGATTTGGAGTGAAATGACTCATGAATTTTAAGGACTAATAAAACAGTGTAATGACACTGAAACATGTCATCAGGTAAAATGGGCTAGTTTCCGCCCTTGTAAATTGTGCTTTCTATTTATGAAAGTTTTTTTTTGCCTGTATATAATTATACATACTTCAGTGATCTTAATTCCGGGATGAGTTCAACAGGTGTTTCCTCACCTGTATACTTTTACCCGTTCAAGAAAAGCATCATCATCTAAACATTGTTGTGTTTAGTACCCTGAACATAGAACCTGTGGCGTTACATCATAATAGCATAATTAAACTATGCTTATAGTAGCAAACTATATATGAAACATACCAAGAAATGCATTTATGAAATTTTCTTATGTAAAATATGTCTCAGATTTTGTGGCTTGGGTTCTGTTATTAACAGATATCAACTACTCAAACCCTTATAGCCTCACTAAGTTGCACAATCAGCGTAATATAGCTGTGCCCATAATAAAAGTTATTTGTATTAGATTACGATAAACAACTGTTTCTCGAATTACATTTTATTAATGACAGTCTTTCGTTTGATTCCAAGTAAGGTATGCCGGTATAAATAGCTTTAACGTCTATGAGCATCTATACTGATGTAGACCAATATATCTGATTATATCTTTAGACTAAATTATATTCTAATTTAAAAGTTAACAGTAAACATGTTGACTGGTTCATCGTATCATATTTTCATATGATTTGTCACTCAACGTTTTGTACAAATAAATAGAATTGTACAAGTATGAGTTACTGAAAAAAGGAGACAATTTTATGCCAATCAGCGTGCTTACATCTTGGGCTTAAATATTTCCTAGTACTATTATAAAAGTGAAAGAAACTGTTTTTATCCTTTCTAGGAAATCTACTTCACAGAAATGTTAATAAAATTTTTTAAGTGACTTAACTCCTTTCAAGGTCATACGTTTTAGCGTTATACTTATGATAATGGTTTGAGACTATGACACAGCCTTTATAATAATATACTAAGATAGAAAACACTGTCCCAGGTAAATCAGCATATGTGCTATCTTTAACGATTTCGCATATAACCTTGTGAACATTTTCTCAAGAACGTTATTGATGTAACTTACGTTTTTCCTAAACTATTTTAATTTCTAAAGTTACAATACGTAAAACAAAAGCTGTTGTCATCATTCAGGAAAAAAATATAATGAGCCATAAAATTAATCAGTTACGGCAGATTTAGACGTACAGGGTGGGGCAAAAGTGACAATACAGTTATTTCATTTAGAAAATACTTTAATTTCTAACTACTACTCTAAAACAAACAATAAATAACTTGGTTTCAATTGCCTTCGTGATATTTTCTTTACTACCAATTGTATAACAGCCATATAGTACTAGCTCTATAGTAAGTTTTGCCCCTGCCTGTATATACAAAGCAAATTTCTTTGTCACCTCAAACATTATAAAATCAATGTTGAAAATCCAAATTCAAGTGAAATCGTTTTCTCTATTAACAGCGCGAACAGTTAAATACGGTTTATTATATACCGTATTATATTATACTTTTCATTGGTATATAGATACAGATACACAACCAGAAAGAAAATTAGTGGGTCAAAGGCTAGAGGACGAAACTTGCAGGCCAGGATAATTATTACGTATGTTCGGTCCCATGAATTGGTAAACATTGTGCCGAGACTGTCAAGTAGCATATTACTTGATTATAGCCACTTGAGTAACGCAGGTGTTCTACTATTATCTCTGGGGAAAATATTGTTGTAGCTGAGGGTTGTGAGAAAAATGTAGAGGTGAAGGGGTCACTGTTGTATCCTCAGCTCAAGGCTAATTGTATCGGTCGCCAAAGATTCTGCACGTGCCAGAAATACCTGCACTCTGAATTTCATTGTTCAATTGCACGAGGGATTTTACCGGAACTGTTCGCGCCTTTTCTTCCGTAAGATTGCTCGAATCCAGTGTTTATGAACCCATGCGACTATTATAACAATTCATATCTGTAAAATGAATATCATTTCCTGCATGTATGTATGAAAACAAACAACGTGATAGATATTTTCCAAAGACATCCATTTTTTAAGTGATGGATTACGGTAATCCACTTTTGATATACCGTTATGTGATGTACGTTCAAAAGTTGTTAGGTTCTCTCATCAAATCATATTAAAATGTTTAACATTCCTCTATGTTAGTTAATGTGTTTCAGATACAACGGATAAGAATTTACAAGTATTTCATTGTTGGTGTTGGTGTTTTATCGCAAAGCTGGACAATGCGTTATCTGCACACTGCCTACTATTGTGAATCGAACACAGAATTTTAGCGTTGTAAATCTATAAATTACCGCTGTTCCACCGGGGGACATAATTATTACGGTATGAAGTTAGTTGCTAGAGCTAGCAGTGGCAGCTGTTAACAAAGCTCTACCTAATTATTTATAAATCGTATCTAGCTAAAACATTATTTATCGTTGATATCTTGGAAGCTAGTTAAATGTCAATTTGTTGGTAACTGCCTCATTAATGATCGCCTTCTTACATCGTGTAAATCAAACTCTAAAGCACTGAAAATATATATCTTACAAATTTAATGAAAATAAAATGATACATTTTAACTTAAGATGTGAAAAGAAGTAATTTTAAAAGTGTGGCGTTTACCATGATTAATCACAACATTTCATGTTTCTCTATGGATTTGACTTTCAGTTAAAATCATACGCAGTGTAAGCTTGTACGAATGTTACTCTATTCTCTGGTTTTTCAGATCCTGCAGAATGGAATTCAGATCACATCCGAGAGTGGTTAGACTGGACACAGAAACAGTTTGGACTCGAGTTCATAGCCAAAGCTACGTTCCCGTCTTCAGGTGCTGACTTGTGTCAGCTGACCAGAAACGATTTTTGTCGTTTAACAGGACCAAAATCGGCAGATGTTCTTTTCACTTATCTTTCACATCTAAAGCAATGTATGTTTATTTTGATTATCTGGATCCCATAAACATATTTATATGTTTCTAACGAGCAGTTCTTTAAAGCTATTGAATTTAAACCAGCGACAAAACGTTAGCTACAAAGTATATAATCATTCAATTTGATGAATAAAGGCACATATTATCTTTGAAAAGTTTAACGCAAGATTTTTAGTTTTTAAAGGAAAATTTGAGTATGCAAATTTAATATAGTAAATATTTAAAATATTTTCGCTGTTGCTGATTGATATCAGTTTACAGTTTTGTTTAAAAGTATTATTAGTCTATAATAAATGCATTTTTTTATTTACAGCTAGTGGGCATGCTCCTCTTCCACCACCAGACTACCCTCTAACACCTGAGGAGAACAGTTCTGTGAGTGATGACACTGATGGTAAGATTTTTCATGATGGCGGATTATCTATTCATAACTATTTTTAAGTGTGTTTTTCACGTTCTCACGATGAAAACATGTATGTGTAAAACGTTTAATTATTATCTATGTCTATATATTTTACAGACAAAAGTCTTTACGTCGATAGTAACAAAGCGACTTCGCTTAAGTGGTCTTTTGGTATGCCAGGTGATCTAACAAAACAAGGTAAAAACGTTATTTATTTTGCAAGCACTAATTGTATTTAATTCTACTACATTAATCATTCAGTCAAACAAGGAAGCTAAAAATAGTGGTTGTATTTGAAGTAATGAAGATTTAAGATCGTTTTTACCATTATACTGCTGTTATTGTAATGCAGAATAAAGTTTCATTAAAAACTGTTTCAACTGAAACTCAGGTTAGAGAAAATCGAACAAGAATAATCTTATGCATAAAACTTAATATTTCATGGTATTTAAAGATTTGAACTTAAGTTTGAATATTTATGACGAACAAAAAGTACCTTTTATTTATACTGAAGCAAACTAATAATAATCATAATGCATATTGAACATACGAATGAAAACTAGAATATTTAAATTCGAATTTCTTATCGCTACAATTGATTTACGTATAAGTTTTTATGTTCCTAGCCATCACTTATATATAGACCAGTTTTCTTATGCTTTTATTGAATTACGTGAAAGTTTCTGTTTTTTTTTTTCATTTTGTTGGTGATACATTATTAAATATTATTTTCTTTTATCCTCTGATGCTTCAGATCCTCTTAAAGCACTGAACGATGTAGGAAGTCGGCTAGCTTCTCAAGGTTAGTCAATTTGTGGTTCTGAAATACTGAAAATTTTCGTTTATTTATGACAAACTATTATATGATTTTTTATAAAAAATATTTATCAGAAAGTATTATTTCTTGTTTTAGGGGATACATAAGGGTTGAAAAAAATTAATTATACGTTCTTTGCTTTATAATATTTAGCAAATTACTGAATTAGAAATACATTATATTACCAAACGTATTCTAATAGTACACTCTAATAATGAGCGCTTCCCCAATTAAATTTACATATCAGTCTCAGGTTGCACTGTTTGGCAGCGTTTATATAGACCATCAACTGTCACAGACAGTTAGTTCGAGTTAAGATATTTGAAGGAAAGGAGCTCTTGGATCTTCAAAAGAATGAAGGTAGCATTCGTAGATTTGGCGCTACTATGTAATAAGAGTGGTGAGCTAAGTATTCCATCAAGCATATTCCTACAGTTAACTACAAAAGATTACTAAGATAGTCACAGTTACTAAAAAATATTATTAATTTCAGAGCAGACGTTTAGGTTACGCAAATTCTGGCTCTATATTAAGATTATACTTAAATGGTAAAACAAACATCCCATTCTCAATCTCTATTTTCCAAGTATTTTAGTACTTCAGTGTTTATAAGTTTATAGTGCACGTACTCGTACCAAAGTTAAAGTAATCCTACTTTTCGCTTACAACAAACCTAAACCTAAAACATTATATAATTCATCGTATCTCATTTCTGAAAAGTGTTTTTAATAACACATTGTTTGTGAAAGCGTCAACAATAATTAAATAATTTCAATTTGAAAAAAAAGAGAAAGAAAGACACAGTCCGCTAGGCTGTTAGTCATTAAGAATCCTAAATCTTTAAATATATACTTTTAGGTACACATTTTACACTTTGTAAAATGCATATGAGTTTGTCAAGATTATGGATAATTATTATATTTATTATTTTGTCACTTTTAGTTCTAATCTGAACAACATTTTATTTTATTAGGGAGTGGTCAGATTCAACTTTGGCAGTTTCTTCTACAGCTGCTATCGGAAGAAAAGAATGCGAATTGCATCACGTGGGAAGGAACTGACGGAGAATTCAAACTGATAGATCCAGACGAAGTTGCTCGCCGCTGGGGAGAACGAAAATCAAAACCCAACATGAATTATGACAAACTAAGTAGAGCATTACGGTATTACTATGACAAGAACATTATGACCAAAGTGCATGGAAAACGTTATACGTACAGATTTGATTATCGTGGCTTGGTTCAGGCATTCCAGCCACCACCTCTGGATTCAAAGGCTTTAAAACTTTCTTTAGACCTCCTTTTCTCAAAAGATGAAGATGTACCTTCATCGGCATTAGCTTTCGATTCATGTTACTATAGCAACAAACATGCAGTGTCCGTTCACTCTAGCTTACCTAAGAATTCTTCAAATTCCAAGGTGTATAACATAAACTGCACTTAGTTTATCCTATATCATCACACAGTGTCATAAAGATCAAAAGTACACGGAATTCTCATCATTTCGCTTAGTGTAAAACTAAGAAGGGACGGTTATCAAGATATAGTATATATTTAGCTAGCAGGTAATTCAGATCAATCTTTTACATTTCCACTTATTTTTGTTTTGTTTTCCTATCATGAATAAACAAATAATTCTTAAAATATTCACGTTGCAACGGAGTAGTCGTGAATGTTTAACGTCTTCCTGTTTCTGCATTTATGATTTCTTATTACTTTATCCAATACAATATTTTACTTGCCAAATGTGGAATAGTTTATCATTATTTTGACTGTTAGAATAATAAATCTGTTTGAGCATTACAATACTGATCTATCGATAACTAACCACTTAGGAACTCTTGTGGGAAATTATTCTGCTTCGAAACTATATATGATCATTACAAAAAAAAAGGAAAATATTTATTTCCAAAGCAGCACAACCTTAATTTTTGTGTGTAAATGTCTGAAAAATGCTTAAAAGGGAGCTTTAAAGTTCAAACAGACGCACATTATTATTATTTCTTATTGAATATAGTTGATGTTCGTGTATTTTTGTTAAATATATGTTAAAACAAAATTTATGAAGTTTCAGAGAGTAGATTGTTTTTGTAAATAATTTTATTTGATCCTGTCTTATTTCTTCATTATAGAATAGTGTTTTCTTTTAAAGTTATTTAATTCTTGTTAATTTCATACAGTTGCCAATGGTGTGTTTGAAAATTATAAACAAAATGAAAAGAAAAACAAAAGAAGTAGTACACAGTTTCAGGATGTGTTTTATTAGTATTATTTTTGTCACAATTACGAATATTTCAAGGCTAACAAAATTGTATTAGATAAATTAAATAAAGCAATTTAATAAAATTCGGAAAAAGTAAATTATTCTGTCAAAATTATGATAGTTTTTTTTCTAGGGTCAATTTATCGAATTTAGGAGTAGGAGTCACTTTTAAACTTATTTAAATTTTCTCAGATGACTTTGGTGAAAGATGTGCGTTGGTATAAAAATCATCTAATTTTTCCCAGTACATTTATCACAATTAGTACAATAAGAAAACTATAGAGAAATAAATGTTTAGCCCTACTTATGCTATCAGTATGACAATGCCATTGCCACTTCTGTATGGATTATCAAATCACAGCGCTTTGTTCATTGCCATATTCGATTTTTCCAAAGTTCTTACGATATGTAACGTCTACTTCAACTCTCTGGATAAAATTCACTTGAGTGAATGATTAAAATAATAGCTAGACAAGGGAAAAACCATTATTGTATATATCATTTGATACAGATGTAAATGAAAAGTTTTAGCTACCCCGAATCGAAAGTTTTATTATTATTGACGTTATCTTGCAGATATATGTACAAAGTTTAAAATGTACCTTATTCTAATTCACTGTACTTTTGAAATGTGGTTGGTAAATAAAATTTTGTTTTTCGCTGTAATTAAAAATAATGGTTTTGTTTTTTCCCAATAACTTATATTTAAGAAGAAATACAGTAAATGAAATTAGCTAGAGATCGAATGCAATATTTCCAATGTTTCAAAATATATTAGCACGTCTTAGCTGCAAAACTTTCAATATTTATGTTTCATAACAAAACTCGACTTCAATCAGTATGTTATTCAATATCACCATTGCTTTTAAATATTAGCCAGCCAATCCATTTATAGATGCAAAAGCTTTGAAACTTTCTTTGGATGCCTACTTCTCTCAAAAGCTCAAGATGCCAACTTTGAATTTCGGTTCAAATTACTTTAACCACATATGAGCAGTGCCAGTTCACCCTATAACTCACATTTACACTTTACTTACTTACTATAGTTCATGCTGTTACAGTTGTTATTCAAGCAACTGATGATATAAGTATCATCTAGATCACCACTATGTTCGTTGGATCTCAGCCGGTTTGATGAACCCTGGTATAGGGCAAAAGATCTCGTCGCATACAGTGTAGTTGATATACTATTGCATAGTCTTTATAGCTTTCATTCATGAGTTTTTTGAATTGCCCTTTAATATTTCGAACACAGTTGTATTTGTGTTGCCCTAATTCATTTTTCAGGGCTATGAAGGCCATAGTACATCCAACTGTTATCATTTTACCAAGTCTATAACAGAAGGTAGCAGAAGCCAGTAAATGTATGTTTAGTTAGCATTCCATTCATATATATATATTGTTGTTTTTTTACTCTGCCAGTTTTTTTGTTTTGCTTTTCAATTAAGAACAAATATTTCATTCTTAAAGCATCCATGCTACAGCAGAGTATAGTGAACTATTTAATTTTCTACTTCTACAGTTTCAATAACAAATATGATTTCGTATTAATTTACAACATTTTACTTTAAAAGAGTAGAATTGCGTGACAATAGTTTGGTTGTTAAAGTATTAAGTCTGTTTTTGAATTACCATGCTAACCTATTGAAAACTAACTTCTTTAAGAAACTTCTAGTAGTTTCTTCTGTTCAAAACTATCTTTTCCCAAAACAGCATAACATTTAAGTTTTGGTCTAAATGATCAATAAAATGCTTAATAAGAAAAAAAAAGTTCAAATTGGCGCACGTATTTTGTATATTTAACTGAAGGTAGTTTGTTTTAGTGTTTGCCTCTATTTTAAACGCTTTAACAAAAAATTAATGAACATTTCAGAGAGTAGTTTGTTTTTATTCGTAACTTTTATTGAATTCTGCCTTATGTCTGCCGTCATAGCACAAAATTCTCGTTTCTAGTATTTAATTATTGTTAATTACATACTGTTGTCATTAATTTGTTTTAAGGTTTTAAACAAAGTAAAAACAAACTGTAGGGAGATTCATCATTAATATCATTTTTCATGAGTAACAATGTTTCCAGTGCTACCACCAAGTTAACAGTGTTTTTATCAACTAATCTAAATAAGTCAAATTAATTAATCCGAAAATAATAAACTACTTTATCTATACGAGGATATTTTTTGTCTGTGGTTAATGAGTATGTTTTTATAAAAGGAACCACTTTTACCCTTGTCTTCTCCAGTGATTGAGAGGAGTTGTGTGTCGATGTATAATATTAATCTATCCTTCACCAGTAAGCACTGAAAAACTTCAATTATATGACAAATTCACGCTACTGCTGTTGTTCATGATCAAACCGCAAAAATACTACTTTGTTTATTGTCGTATTTGATTTTTTATACAGCTCTTACGATGTGTGACTGACATTATAATTCAGGTCTACAATTAGAGTTTACTTTAAGGATTTAAAATGAAAGTTCCTGAATAAAATACATTTACTTTTACTGATGTTATGTAGGAGATATATGTACAAAGTATAAAATGTACCTATTCAATTTTTCTGTACGTTTGGAATATGGTTGGTAATAAAATTTTGTTTTTCGCTGTGATTAAACTTGAATGTTGTTGTGGCCTCAGTGTACTTATTTTTCTCATGAAAAAAATAAAGTAAGCGAAACCTTATATAATTTAACATCAAATTCTTTATTCAGAATACATGTAAATATTATCCTATTTTCCAAATTAATTTTAGAATAAATTTTGGCTTACTTACGCATATGTTCATTACTGGTTTATTATAAATTACTTTCCTTATTGTACTAGTTTATCATAAATTACTTTCCATATAATACTAGTTTACTATAAATTACTTTCTCTATAAGACTGGTTTAGTATAAATTACTTTCCTTATTACACTAGTTTAATATAAATTACTTTCCTTATAATACTGGTTTAATATAAATTACTTTCCTTATAATACTGGTTTAATATAAATTACTTTCCTTATTATACTGGTTTAATATAAATTACCTTCCTTATTATACTGGTTTAATACGAATTACTTTCCTTATTATACTGGTTTAATATAAATTAGTTTCTTTATAATACTGGTTTAATATAAATTAATTTCCTAATTATAGTGGTTTAATATGAATTACTTTCCTTATAATACTGGTTTGATATAAATTACTTTCCTTATTATAGTGGTTTATTATAAGGAAAGAAATTTATATTAAACCAGTATTATAAGGAAAGTAATTTATATTAAACCAGTATTATAAGGAAAGTAATTCATATTAAGCCACTATAATAAGGAAAGTAATTTATATCAAACCAGTATTATAAGGAAAGTAATTTATATTAAACCAGTATTATAAGGAAAGTAATTCATATTAAGCCACTATAATAAGGAAAGTAATTTATATCAAACCAGTATTATAAGGAAAGTAATTCATATTAAACCACTATAATAAGGAAAGTAATTTATATTAAACCAGTGTTATAAGGAAAGTAATTTATATTAAACCAGTATTATAAGGAAACTAATTTATATCAAACCAGTGTTATAAAGAAAGTAATTTATAGTAAACTAGTATTATATGGAAAGTAATTTATGATAAATTAGTACAATAAGGAAAGTAATTTATAGTAAACCAGTATTATAAGGAAAGTAATTTATAATAAAGTAATTTATATTAAACCAGTCATTATAAACAAGATTTCACTCTAATGGAATTTATGTTGTTTAAGAATTTATTATGAAGCATCAGTTTTGCTGTTCAATACAAACACACATCACTAAAATAACGGATATCCATAAGAAACAACAGGAAATTCGAGAGAAATGTTAAAGGTAAGTTTACGTACAAAAAAAATTGTGTTGAGTTTCAATAGAACAACAAATGAACGTGACCGTATATAAATAAATAAAAAAATTGATTGCGTTTGTAAATATACAGGATTTGCATTCGTTTCAAAATATATTTATTATACCTTAGTTGTGAAATATTTACATATTATGTAATCCCTACTTACGTTTCCGATTCATAATTCTCAGTGTTATCCAATATCAATAATGCTTTTAAATATTATCCTGCCAAACACCTCTCTTAGATTGAAGAGCATTGAAACTTATCTCGGAGGCCTATTTTGCTCAAAAGATTAAAATGTCGACGTTAAATTTCGGTTTAAAGTATTATAACAACACAAGCAATGGCAATTCACCTTATAGCTTGCCTTAGAATTCTTCTTCCATCATAAATGGATTTATTTTATCTTATTGCACTTTACTGGGTTATAGAGGCCATTAGTACATCAAACTACCATAATTTGAACGAGCCTATAACAAAATGTTGCCATTATCAAGACGTGTGTATATATTTATTTATGTAGCACCCATATATATATATATATGTTATACTCTCAATTACATCTTTTTTACATTCCTATGAAAATCGTATATTTTATTCTTAAAACAATCACTTTCCAGTGAAATAGGCGTGAAGTACTTAATTTTATATTTCTTGTATTTCAATAATATTAGTTATGATATCTTTTTATTTTATTTTATTTAACTTAAAAAGAGCAGAACTGTTATAACAATGTCTTGTTTGTAAGAATAGTAAATCCGTTTTAGATTACGGAACTGACTTAGTGAAAACTAATTACTTCGGAATGTTGCAGTGGATTTCATCTGTTTCACTCTCCAGGGGCACAGCGG